TCAAAATCGGCGTACACGACGAACGGTACCGCGCACTCATTTTTAAAGTTTTCAAATTGTAAATATATATCCTTGACACTGGGAAGCACAATTTTACACATATTCACATTTTTACAGTCGATCTCGTGCGTTTTCAATCTCTCTTCAGTTAGAAAATAGTGCAAGCAACGATCGCATATGTACGACTTACATTTGCGAAATGACAACTGTCGATACATCAATTGAGATAAGTCTTTTATCCAAACGTAGTGCACTTTGTATGGTATACCGGGACGTTCCATTTGCTGCTGCTGCTGCTTTTCGTTTACATCGATATAATAATTTTCCACTAGAAAAAGATTCACATGCCTGTCTTTTTTCTCATCGGTCAAATGTTGCGGCAACACATCGTAGGATCCATTATTCAAATTTAAAAAGTACACGTTCACTGAAACGTTGTTTTGCTTTTCAAATTTCACGATTTCTTTCGGGTGTACCGGAAATGATAGATTTTTGAAATTATATTTATCTTGATGAGCAGTATAGGCAGTGACACGGCATGCATTCCTTGCGACTGGATGTAACGCCGAAAGGATGGCCCATTTGAAGCATTCGTTATCGTTGTTCCGCACGTTCACACAGGCTCTCTTACTTTTAACAGGCTTGGGCAATTCAACGTAAGAACCAGCTCTCATAGGATTGTACTTGCTGATATTTACGGTTAAGTTTAATATAACGCGAAGAGACCAGCCTGAGTCTTGCTCTTGAAATTCTTCCGTGCTCTTACTAATTGGTTGTAAAACGTTTTCGATGAACCACTCGTCTATGTCTGTGGTTAGGTATATCGGCGCCATCTTCGTATTGAAATGCTTCACATCGAGCTTTTCATCGCAATTATTCTTTTCGACTGCATACTCGGCATTCAATACGGCATTAACTTTTAAAGAACTATGTTTCTTCAAGGTCTCCTTAATTTGAGCATGGAATAATGGTTTGGCATGCCTCAAAATCGCATTCAAATCCAGATGTTTCAGATTGGTTATCACACCAGTCTTTATTCTGCCTTTGAACGCACTATTGATGTCGTTCCAGTGAACTGTTGAGTCTTGAGCTGGATTAACAACAGCCGGTGTAGTGGTAGTAGTAGAAGTAGTAGTAGTAGTAGTAGTAGTAGTAGTAGTAGTACTAGCCGGTTCGAGACCTTCACCAACTACATCCAAAATAACGAGAGGTTCGTATATAGATTGTTCGCTATGCTTGCTCACCACAGGTTCGGCAATCGATGAGGTGGCAATGGGGGGCTGTGCCAACAGCCTACTCTTGTATTCGTTTAGCAGATGTAAAACGCTTCTAATCATGCACATAGCTGCCTGCAGCTTCTGTTTGCCAGACATGATCAAGCTAGGCGAACGAGAAAGCTCATCGGCTTTGCGCAAAGCCAATGAACCCAGTGTCAACCATCTTTCGATGTCTTCGACACTAGCATAACCTGCATTCGCCAGACGATGTGCGCGCAAGAGCAACAAAGCTGTGTTCTTGAAATACTCAGCCATGATGCTAGTTACTCAACTGAGCAGATTTGACAAATCCATCGCGTTATATTCATTACTCGTCAATGCTGATTGGTTGGAAAAAGTATAGAGGGGGTGAACGATTGTGATTGATCGAAAAATTATAGTGGGGCATCAACAAGTGCAAGCTCAGTATAAAAAGACATTCATTCGTCTATATTGACGCAGTCGTCGACGTCGATTCCTCAGTTACTACGATGAATTTTGTTGTAGACGTACAGGGCTTCAAAACTAGCTTAAACGAATTCGTATTCAAGGAGATTGCTGTTTGTCCTCTAGGCGAGGACATAGATCTTTCGGAAGATGAAGTCTTCGGATTGATTGATTTACCGGTACAAGAAGCAGCGGTGGACGAAGTCGTCGTCGAGCAGCCGCGAACACCTTCGCCGAGGAGGAGGAACGACGATGACGACATCCACGAAGCGGCAACTATTCGGATGCCGCTGACACCTCCACCTTCAATATTGTAAGTACATATTTTTTTCATTCTATTTTACCCTCTCTCTCTCATTCTGTTTTTTATAATTAATACCATTATACTAATAACACAATTATATTTAAATTTTATTAATTCAATATAATGGTAGAACTTCGAAATGCACATATTCTCGTTCAATCGGACAATCGTACCCTGGTCGCTTATATCAACAAAGAGGGCGGGACTCGTTCGATAGAGCTTCTCGATTTGACGTTTCATGTGTTACAACTAGTTGACTCGATGAATGTAACTTTAACAGCTGCTTATCTCCCAGGAAGATACAATGGTATAGCAGACCGTCTCTCCAGAAAGAAACCAATACCCGAATGGCATTTATTAATAGAGGCGAGGAACAAGATTTTCAAAAAGTGGGGTACTCCGGAGATAGATCTGTTCGCTTCGGAGAGATCTATGGTAGTGGACCGTTATGTGTCTTTGAATCCCAAGGATCATCGAGCACTTTTTATCGACGCATTCAGCAAGACATGGAAATTCAAATTGGTATGGGTCTTTTCTCCCCCGAGCTTGATTCCGAGAGTTTTGGCACATCTCAACAAATGCCAAGGCAACTACGTGATAATTGCACCCAAGTGGAACCAAACGTTTTGGATGTCGGATCTAATGAACCGGAGCAAAGAACCACCAATGGAAATAACAGACTTGAACAAAGTCTTGATCGATCTGTCAACGGGGCAACCACCTAGCGAAGTGGATCAGCTTACTCTGCAAGCGTGGATGGTTGGGTGTGGAGCAACTTGACAGGTAATTGGTCTTCAGAGGAGTTAAATTTGCTAAAACAAAGTTGGCGTGATTCAACATTGAACACATGTAAAGCTCCATTAAAGAGATGGATAGATTGGTGTTCGCTAAACCACGTAAACCCTGGTGCTCCTTCAGGTAGTGATTTAGCAAGATTTTTAGCTGGCTTATTTCTTGTTAACAAGTTAGCTTATAATACTATTTTATTGCACAAATCAGCCATTTTAACTTTTTGTTCAGGAGGAACATCTATTAATCTTGCTTCGGAGTTTTTAGTTCGCCAAATATTAAAAGCCATCTCTATAGCTAAACCAGTAGAAAATATAAAGGTTATATGGGATACCCAAATCTTAATGAATTGGCTAGCTATAGCTCCAATAAAGCAGACTTTGTTCGAGATTTCACGAAGAACTGCAGCTTTACTACTATTAGCGTCTGGAAGAAGAGTACACGATTTAACATTTTAAAGATCTCAGATGGACATTTTCAAAACAGCAACGATGAGATCGTTTTGTGGACGAGTTTTGGTGATCGTGCTTCTTTCCAACAGTCGGGCTGGAAATTACTTAAACATTCCAATGAGTGGTTATGCCCTGTTTCGTTGATAAATAAATATTTGAATTTCTCAAGAGAAAGAAGAAGAGAAGTAGACAGAGAACCTCTTTTTGTCTCAATAACGGGTAAAAAGAAAGGCTACTTCAAGTACTATAATAGCGAATTGGATTCGTTCTGTACTCAAAGATGCTGGTATAGACGATTCACCTGGTAGTGTTCGTTCAGCAGTAGCTTCTCGCGCCTGGTTAGACAATCTGCCTATTCAAGATATTTTAGATCATGGTAATTGGCGGTGTGTAGAAACTTTCCGTAATCATTATTGCAAAGAAGTTCAGTGTGAAAATAGCAATTCTTCAAGTTTATTATCAAAGAACTTTGAATGCATTTAGTTATTGAAATTTAATCAACCAATATTTTGTTTGTTTGTTAATAAAAAGAAATTATTTTCTTCTAACATTTTGATTTTCATTATATAATATTTTATTTCATTTATCACATAGCATTGATTTTATATCTAGTAGATAACAGACACGCCTCTCATAAGGATGCCGTGTACCCGGCCTATAGCATATAATATTATTACAATATATATTATATTGTATTATACAATATTGCACTATAACAAAACACGTATTATATGCGGAGCCGGTACACGGCATCCTGGTAAGTATCTTACTGAATATGAGGACTATGAAGGTAGACGCATACGCTGCGTGACGACGATCTTCTGGATTTTGGAATAAAAGAGCAATCAAAGCGGCAAATTAAGATAAAGGAGATTCGATTAAGGCGGAAAAGATCAGTAGCTTCTCTCATAAGGATGCCGTGTACCGGCTCCGCATATAATACGTGTTTTGTTATAGTACAAAACACTAATATTATGAATTATTTATTTATAAAAAAATGTAGACTTGTTAGTGAAATAATTGCAAGTATCGTCAAAAAGAGTCATTCCGAGTGGAACATTTTTTATTGCAGCCGTAAAAGGATTCAAATAGTCGGGTTATGAATTGAGAGCCGCGCCCATTGTATCTGTACCGGCCCTGCTTATTAATGAAAATATGAGCTATGATCTCAGTCAGAAACTGTATGCATTTTGGTTGCGGGATGGCAATAGTTTGGACGTCCCGAAAGCATCAGAGTTCCGAACGCAAACAGTGCGGTCTCTCGTGCCGGAATGACATCGATTACTAACTTCTTTACGCGCTGTTGTTGCGACTCGAAAGCGCGCACATGTCGGTTTCGGAACGGCAGTGATTTAGACGTCCCAAAACCAATCCAATACAGCGCGCGAACGAGTGCGCATTCTGTGCCGAAGCGCCATCGCACGCGAGTTTTACGATCTGCCGTCCTTTGAGCACGAAACCATGCGCGTCTTGGTTGTGAAGCGGCAAGCGCTATGATGCTCCGCAACTGTAACTATTGCTTGTCGCAACTGTCTGCGTCGCATACCTATAACTCCATCGCTCTCGACCGTATCACGCCGTGACCGTTTCAGTTCGTCATCGATGAGATTCAGAATCGCACAATCATATCAGTTTCGGATTTTCCGTGAGCAGGCGGGTCTTGGATTTTTTTCCGTGTGAACACCCTAAACGTCTGGACGCTGCTGATGAGCGCTCTGTCTCCTTAATGCAGTCTCCATGGTTTTGCGTAAACATCGCTATTAATGTTGACTTATAACTTTTTAACGATAAATAGATAGATTGAAGATAGTAATAGTAACAGTAATAGTAATACGTAATAATTTTAACAACAGTCTTTAAAAATCTTTAATAAGGTTTGAAAAAATTGGAAGCAAGATTATTTTGAAACTTAAATAATTGTAATCAATTCCAACAACTCAAGGTAAGTTGTTCATTTTCGAAATATAATAGAAAAATAGTTGTTAATCAATTAATTTTATGAAACAAAAATTGTTTTACTTTTAAGTAAATAATTTTTTTACTAATTATAAATATAAGTTGTTAAAACTTTTATGGCTATAGAAAAAATGAGCACAGAAGATATGTGGACACCATACAAAGAGCTGCAAAGTCTTATTGAACAATATGTTACTTCATCACCAAATACATGTGATCCACAGTACCATGAATTTTCAGAAGCTTTACGTAATTATAGACAAAATTTTTTATCACTTTTGAAAAATCCAGTAAGTATGAATTAAAACTAATGGTTGAATTTTTATTTGCATAAATCTAATCAGCAAAAATATTGAAATATATCCATTTGATATTTTAAGCCAAGAAACTCTAAAACTCGAGAAGAAATTCTGAAAGGTAATACAGAAGGAATTCACTCACCAGGATTAGGTCATCAAATGCTGACAAAAGAATTGATTGATGAAACATTGATTATTAGTGATATGTATGATTTAAATGAATTTATGGCTCTTGATTTATTGTATACTGCACAATTGCAAATGCCATATTACCCAGGATTAACCAGAGGTCTTACAGCAATCTTATTATATTACGATGGAAGGAAAGCTCTTACATCATCATTGAAGACCTTGGTTCAAGCCAGAGCTGGTCATAGCTGGATGTTAGATATACCAGTAAGATTGACCAAACAAATTACAGAATATACTAACAAAATGGAAGAAGATGGGCTATTGTGTAGAATTATGCATTTGCTTGAAGAAATGGATCCAACAAGGGTGCTCTTATTATAATACGAAAACTAAAATATTTCAAATAATTATATTTAAATTAAATTTATATTTTACGTTTATAAATTAATTAAAAATTAAGCAGAAATATAATTTTATTTTCAGGAACAAGATCTTTTACAACAAAATAGAGCACTTGGTGGTTCAAAACATCATTACATGGTTATGAAATTATTTAATGATACTCGACAAGATTTGGCAGATATATTATATATGTGGTCAGCTCAATCAGGTCTACCAATCATTATAATGTTTCGACTTGTAATGTTATTACAAAAGCTTCATCCTGAGTCAGAAGCTGGAGAAGGTAGTCCAGACAAGGTCACAATAACCCTTATTATGTCCCTTTTAAGTTCAATAAATTTAAGTCCTCTTCATAGCAGGGAAGATGGTGAAGGTAAATATTAATAAAACTTTTTCTTCTGATATAGTACTTGATAAAGTTATTAATGAAAAATATTTAATTTTCTAGAAATTATTCGTTTAATGCCAATAATATCGGAAAATAGTGCTTTTGATAAACTTATTCAGAAGTTAATGAACCCCAATATTTCATGGGAAAGTACTGGATTGAAAGGATTTATACAATTTGTTCTTGCAATCGCTGTAACAACAATAAAATCTGCACCAAATATTTGTCCAATACATAATATTACAAAAGAAGATGAAATACTTATTGAAGCTGCTTTATCTAATAAAGCTTTTCATTTTGCAGCTGAAGTTCTTTTTAAAAGCAAACATTTGCATTATGAAGAATTTTACTTGCGTTACTTTCATACATTAATATCAGATTTTATTTTATTAATGCCTTTAAAAGTGAAAGAGTTGAAGAGTAGAGCAGATGAATCAATGCGTTTAATTCAAGCTTATCAACAAGAAGGAATTGAGCCCCCCATGAATTTAGATAACCATTTTAAATATTTAATGTTAATGATAGCCGAAATTTATAAATTTGATCCACTAAATCTAAATTTGGTCATGGATTACTGGTATCAGCATTCAGAAACTTCTCATGTATCTAATACTAGTCACTCTAGTAAATTACCATCAAAACAAGTTGCTTTATTCAAATTTGTACGATTAGCTGGAGAAATTCTTCCTGCAGGTTTATTCGTTCCATACTTAAATATGATTGCATCCTTGGCTTCATCAACACAAGCTGCCAGACAAGCCTTCAACTTTCTTAAACCAAATGGTAACTAAGTATTATTAATTTGACAATTCATATTCAAAATAGAATTTTTCAATCTTGTAGAAAAAGAAGTATCACAAAAATCACATTTTCTGTGTTTTGTATCAACATATAGAGTTCAATAAATGAACAAGTAGGTAATTTTAACAGTGTTTGGTTTTACTAATGTATACATGTCTATGCAAGAATTAAATTACTTTCTCAAACTTGTATTGAAAAATTTTATAGATACCCCAATTTAAATCTTAATTAAAAATTACTTAAATGATTTCTAGGTTCAGCTGGCTCAACAACAATATCATGGGATCACTTTTTTAGTTCTTTAAACCGTTATTATTATAACTTAAGACAAGAACTTCCACCTACTATACAAGACACAGTATATCGTCAGCGTGGTCTTTCAAAAGGCATAACCCCAAATGAAGTTAAAGGTTTGGAGGCAGTTCTTCAAGTTATTCAAGTTGTAGCAAAATATGACGAAATGTCTAGAGTAACCTTGTGTGATCATCCAGCTTGGAAGGTATTGCAGTCTGTTATAGGTTTAGTTAGTTGTGCTATGCCTATTCCATTAAAAGGATGTTTAGTACGAACTTTAGCTGCTCTTGCAAAATCACCAGATAGTTCATCTACTGTTTGGCAAAATTTAGAAGCTACTCAAATTATCACTACAATACCAACAACTAGCAGCTATCAGCCTCGAGGTGTTCAAACAGAGTTGGATGAAATTGAATCTCGAAATGAAGAATATCCATTGACTAGAGCAATGCTTGAATTACTAGATGTTTTGACTGATTTTCCAATTCCTCGTTTGCTCGGAGTGGGCCAGAGAAATCCTGGGTTTGATCCATATCTAAACTTTATCATTAATACTGTTTTCTTACGATTCAACACACGTTCATATAAAAATCCAAGTGAGAAATGGGAAGTGGCTCATGCTTGCTTAAAAATACTTTCCAAACTTCTTCAGCGATATGAGCCATCTGTTGAAGATTTTGTTGGATGCAAAATTGAACTGCAAGGTGGTGAATCTATGGTAATTAATGCTTCACCCGGATATCATTTAATGACACAGCTTCATTCAAATACAGAACTGCTTCGAAATTTATTATATATTCTTGAGGAAGGATGCCATTGGCTGGACACATATGATACATTTGCTGGTAAAATGTTTCTTGAAGAAAGTACTCTAAGTTGTTTAGAAATATTAGAAAGAACTCTAAAAACTCAACATCAGTACATGTCACAACTAGCTATCGTGTCATCATCTGATAAAATATTAACGGGATTATCTCGGCTTTTGCTAGGAGTAAATCATCGTACAGGAAAACCCGATCATATGATTAACATTGCTCAGTATATTCTATACAACAGTTGGTTACAACGACATACAAATATTGCTGTTGGTATCATCCATAGTGTATCCAATGAACCAGGGGCTGATTCAGAACTCTTATCAACTTTTACCTCTACAGCAGTACTCTCTACAAATATTAGGCACGGCTTTGTTGAATGTTTGGATATGGAAGAGACATATACTGAGAATGAAGAAGAGGGACAAAAGAATAAACAGCAGATAAGGCACTGTAAAGAGCGAATATTGTCGCTATTGATGCAAAGTATCACTTGTCCAGCCCCCAATCTTGCTCATTATTTACTTGGATTTGAAATTTCTAAAGATATTAGAAAAACTGTAATTCAACAACCTGGAATCCTCGCTTATCCTAGAACTTGTTTACACTCTATTTTAGGAATTTTAGAGTCATCTTTGGAAAAAGGCCGGAATAAAATAACAGAAGCTTGTTACTGGTTTCTTCATACACTGGTATCGAACAGTAAAACTTCAATCCCGGTGTTGCGTTTTCTTCGAACTACAACTAACCAAGATTTTGTACATCGGCATTTATCAAAGTTACCATTTCAAGGACTGGATAGAGCTAGTGATTTGACTTGTATGTCATGGTTACTTAAAATTGCCGCTATTGAATTACGCGTTGGTAGTGGAAGTCTTCAAAATTCATTGATACAAAAATTAATTGGTAAGTAATAGGTTTTTTAGAATATTAAAACTATATAATACCAATAAGAGTTATTGATAAATTGGATTATGTATATAATTGTAGCAAATTACTATTGCAGATAACTGAAATTTTTATATCACATTTTCTAGTGAATTAAAAAATTTAACAGGTCTTTTAAATTCTTGAGTCTTGCTTAAAAAATGTTTTTAGTATTATTTTATACTAAATTTTGAAAGTTCTAAAAGACAAACTAAAATATTTAAATGTTATTGAAATAAAATTATTGTACACATTGAAATTCTTCAAATGACAGTGCATGAATATGTTATATAATACGGAAACTTCATAATTTTTATCTTTTACTCATTTTATTTATTATTAATAAATGTTGATCTGTTCAGTGTTATGCAGATTGTTCTGTCTTTAAAATAATTAGCTATTGTTTTTTTAAAGAAATTTACTAAAAATATAGTTTTCTACTCAATATTCGCATAATTTTTTTATTTATTATTTTTATTCATCTTTTTTCAAGGAAACCATGGTCAAGATAGAGATCAAATTGTGCCATCCCAAAAGTTATTGATGGATTTACTACATTACATAGATTTTCAATTGCAATTAGAACCTCATAAATCTTGGGAATACTTTGATCCTTCTCAAATAGAAATGGTTTTTGGACGTTGTAGCGTTGCGGTAGCTCTTTCTGGAGGACCACAGCTTATCGACATAAAAGAATTACATTTACTCATAACAGAAGAATTATCGGTTACTCAAGCAAGTGCTACTGCTAGTCAAAGAAAACTTATGCAACAAGAATTAAAATCAATTTTAGATTATGCATTGAAAAGAAATCAAATCAAAACTCTGTCTTATGCTACTGTGAAATTCGTAGAAGGTTGGTGTCAAGTGACAGAAATCCTTTTTTCAATTGCCTCAAATCAACAATTACCTGTGGTACAGAAGCAAAATTTCATACTGAATCTTTCTCATGATTTACTGCGAAAAATGACCTCGTGCGAAGCCTTGAATGAGATCAAAACGTTAGTCTCTGGGACAGTTTTGATTCTATTAGTGAATTTGCGTGTAAGTTTAGCTTTACAATCAGACGACGAACTATTGTCACCTTCTGCCACTAACACAACTATGATGAAAATAATTCTGAATCACATCCTTCAATGGATTCTAAATTCCGAAGCTTCATCTCAAAAAGTTTGTACTCACCTTTTTGGAGCTCTTCTCTATTTTCTTTACATTGTCATCTCTGATAAAGCTGGAGTTGAAGTTAATAATATAGATGTAACTTTTGTTAACCAGTTAGATAACTCTTTTTATAGAGCACTACCAATGCAACGATCACATCAATATAGCACTATCGAAGTAATAAATAGTTTTGGTGATAAATTAAAGGATATTATATGCCATAGTTGCTCTGGTGGACATGACGTTTGCAAAATGTTAGGGTTTTCCTGTCTTAATAAAATTCTTGAATTAGATTGTGACAATTCATGGATTACATATTTGTCAAGTAGAGGATATTTGAAACACATGATTGACAATTTGTTAGAATCAGATAACTTGCTTCGTTGTTTGTTTCAGCCAGATCCTCAGACCTTGCGACCATTATATTTATATGAAGCAAAAATGGCTATGTTTAATCGCATGGCTTCAACTAGATTAGGTGCTGAAAGTCTTTTAGAAAATAACATTTTATCATGTCTTTCAAACATGTCTGTCGTTGATCAACATCCAGATATCCAAGATAGTATTAATGGAATAGATCCTTCTTTCCTACCATCAGTGACAGAAAGATATCAACAGATTTTTTTACCAATGCTTTGTTTATGCGATGCCTTGCTTACTACACTTGGCACAGAAAATCAATCATGTGCTATACAAATTTGTGGATTTTTACAAAGTCATCGTGATACAGTTGAAATGACTTTGAGGAATATTTCACCTACATCAAATACTTTATTTATAAATGAAGTGGCATATTTATCAGGCATCATAGCTCGATCTGCCAACATTGGTGAGCTGTTTAATTTACCATGATTATTAATTCTTTTTCAACGTATATTACAAACATCCCCATGTTTACCACACTCTTCTTAAAAAGTAAAACTGACATGCGAGTAGGATTTCGCTAATATCTAAAGCCTAGAGACAATTTCAAAATCAGTTTGGTAATTGCTAGCAAGTGAAAATTGTAATTTAGCAATTTTTATTATAATTTCGAAGTGGCAATTTTGAACATGGTTGGACAACATACCAAAATTGTCGATTCATAATTATATAAAAAATTGTTAAATTACAATTTTTACTTCCTTCTAACTATAAAATTGATTTGAAAATAGTCTCTGAGCTCTAGGTATTAGCGGCAGTCTACTCGTCTATATATTTTCGACACTCCGTGCGTAAAGTGCGTCTTTCCTGCACGCTCGGCAGAAAACGTGCGTTGAAAATTGCACTTGCCACACGTCGTATAAAAAAATACGGTACAGTACATGTTCGGAAAAGAGTTTCTCGTCTCGTCTACCTTTCTATAAACGCCACATGAGACAAGAATCTACTTTTCCGCACTTGTATCGTAATGTACTATTTAGTTTTTGAGAAAAGTGTTAGGTCGAAGGAAGGGGCAAATTTCATTAGCTGTGCCAGAGTCACATAAAATAAAATCTATAGATACGAATCAATTGTAATTGAACACATGATAAATCGCTGATAGTCATCTCTGATAAATGTTTAAATTGTATCAATAATTATAAATTAACAAAGTTTTCATTCGATTAGCTGATCAAGTTTGTGTCTTAAAAACCCACTTACCCCAACCAGTGAACCATATTCTAACTAAAAAAATAACAATCAGAATATTATTAACTGTAATCTTAAAATATGTTTATAAATTATAAGGTACCCTTTTAGTTATTAAAAAAAATAATAAGATCTAATGCTTGTTTTACGAGATATTGCAAGGGCGATAACTTCGTAAACAATCAAAATTTTACTAAGTAGCCAAAAACTACCTTGCGTGATATTGAACTTATATAATTACTTTATAAAAATTATTAATCTAAATAAAAAATTGATAATAAAAACCATATTTTCATAATTAAGGTTGAGTTAGGTTAGGTTTATTGGATGGTGGTGATTTTCTAACTAACAAGGAAACCTTCCCCTCAATCCGATCTGACCGATTTCAATATTCTTTTAATAGATTGTGTAGATCGTAAAAAAATAAGTAACACGTGTTTTTTTATTGGGGAAAAAATACTCTTTGAGGAGGTAAAATCTCCCTTCAAAGTCCACCCTCTTATCTCAAGTTCTAATTAATATTTATAACGAAATAAATTTCATTCCACTTTTCATGCGGATCCAATGACTAGGGATGTAGCCTTTATTTTTTTTATTAACAATTCTCATCATTTTTGTGCCTAATTTTATAAAAAAAATTTTAATGAGTTAAAATAATCTAGAAATTATATTATCGTATTGAAAAACGTTTTTTATTTTAAGGGTGTTTCGAAAAATAATTTCGAACTTTATTATTGTAATCAACCTGCAATAACATTTTTTCCAGTTTTTAAGCTCATTTAAAATGTTTTTTTCATAAAAATAGCTATAAATATAGTAGAATTGTCAATAAAAAAAATAAGGGTTACATCCTTTATGGTCTAAACTACATGCACTAACTCCACATTTTCATGAGAAGAGAAATGAAATTTATTTCATTGTAAAATATTAATTAGAACTTGAGCTAAATTGCAAAATTTATTTTTGCGAGTGGACTTGGAGGGTGATTTCACCTCCTCAATGTATTTTTCCGCTGATTAAAAGAGTACGTGTTATATATTTTTCTATAATTTATAATATATTAAAAGACTATTGAAATCATTGAAGGTCCAGTTGGATAAAGGTCGATATACACATATTAAAATATTGTTGGGGGGGGGGGGGGTATTTTTGAGAAACATTCAAACTTTTTTTAAAATAGTCATTTGGTTGCTTTTACAAAAGGGTTGGCAGGAATCCGAGTATATAGTACCCAAAATGCTCATTCGGATACTGAACCTACAGCTTATAATAGAATCAGAACCTTCTAAAGGCACGGTGTTAATTCTAGCATATCAACATTTATTTTGGAAAAAACCATTGGGTGGTATCCGCCGGAAATCGAGCCCTAGACATCTGCATGGGTCTCGTATTGTATCCACTGAGCTACCACGGCTCTTAAGGATTAGATTTATTGAGCGCATGCGTGAATTACTACATAGAGGTGGACAAACTGGGTTGTTCTGAATTTGCAATGAACATCAATTTATGAACAATTTCATATAAAAAGCCTTGACAAACGCTAATCTGATTATGAGTATCATATGCAATGATTCAAACTGCACCTTTCTAGTTATTAAATGAAGCATAACAAGTAATGCCTTGTGTTTAAGTTTTATATCTATTTCATTTTCTATAATAATTGATGCTACATTCAATATCTAAGTTTATTTGCATTGGCGAATTGTACCTGCATTTAGTGCATTTCATAGTTAACAGTACTTGTAGTGTTTGTCGTATGCATGTTGAACAGTTAAAGCGAAATACCAAATCAAACAGCAAATAGCAATGTAAACAAAAGCTTCATACCAATACTCTATTTTAACAAAATTGATTAATAAGTAATAATTGAATTACAATTGAATTCCCGAACCTTTACCCATCTCTGTGAAGTGTAAATTAATTATACCATCCACGAGACGCTCTAAACGCAGATACAGTTTGCCAGTACGAATAAACTTAGATATTAAATATAGCATCAATTATTATAAAAAATTAGACGTATATTATGAATATTAAATATAGAGCATTACTTTTTATCTTTTATTTAATAAATAGAAAGGTGATACATTGACTAATAAATTAATGTGTTACGCAAATTCAGAACAGCCCAATTTTCTCGCTTCCTTATAATAATTTACGCCTGCGCTCAATAAATCTAATCTAATTATGGAAGAATAGTTTTTATTAATAATTTTTTATCTCTCTCTCTCTCTCTTTCTCTCTTCATTTCTCTCTCTCTCTTTCTCTCTTCATTTCTCTCTCTCTCTCTTTCTCTATTTTGGTTTGCAATGCTTGCGACTAAACCTTCGGCTCAAACATCGTTCTGTTATTGCTAGAGGATGCAATAAACGTCTTACCTTTTTTTTATTATTTTGAGTCATGTTCAATGTTTGCATTTAATAATAATTACAAGTTAATATCTAACTAATTTTCGCTTTTAGTAAAAACCCATAACCATAACTAACTTATGTCACACTTTATCTCATGCTTGCGCGCTCATTTTTAGCTGCGTGAAATGTATGCGTAACAGCACCAAGAATACCAGAAGCAGATCGGAGCGGTGGTTAGACTTGCAGCGAGGGACGAAAGTCTTTAACAGATTGAAATAATTGAATTTATTTAACGAACCGTTACAACACACACACACACACACACACACACACACACACACACACACACAGAGGTACAATATTTGTGAAATCGAAAAACTATAAAATACAATATCTCACAGAAAAAATAAGCTATTTGAGCAAACTCAACGACATTTGAAAGGGCTAGGCTGCTACTTTAAGATGTCTTTTATAGTTTTTTGTGTATAGAGAATGTAGTGCTACATAACCTCAAATATAGGCAAAAATCGCTATTTTCGCACTTTTAGGTTAGGATATCTCAAAATTCTGACGTGTTGGAGAAATTTTGAGGCCGGATTCGGTTTCAGCGCCAAAAATTCTTCGGGGAACCATGTATGGTTTGCTTGTGCAAAAACCTTCTCGGACTGTATTATCAATTAAATTTTTTCTAGCTTCTTTAACTTCTTCATCGGTCTTATTGTTTTCAAATATATTTTTTTCGAATGCTAAAATATCTTCTTCAAATGATTCAATAATTGTTTTGACAATATCTGATACCATTTGCTCACGATCGAATTTGAAAGTAGTAGCAATATTTTTGTTTGATGCTCCTGTACTAAGTTTGAATAGAAGAGTCATTAATCCTTAACGAACTGTTCGATTTAGAAAAAACCCCGCACAAAACCAATGGAAAAATACTTTCGGTTAATTTAAATCTTACACTGACAAATCGATAGTTCGTAACATACTGATCAAATGTCTCCATGGGTACCATATCCGGAAACTCGTTTTTTAGGGACAAATCAAGGGTGTTAGCTCCAAAAATACATAGTATACGTCTTAGCCATTTTAAGACGACAATGATATGCTTTTATTGAATGCATGTACATTGATTTATATTTTGTGGACATTTGAAAGTCGATGCACATATAAATACTCACAACTTCTTTCTCTGATCCGTATATCTCTTTGTTTTACGCGAAAGTGATAGTGTACGGTGACCCATTCTCAGCCGAATCCAGGATCATCGGCGTGGACGTGATGGGCGTCTGATCCCTGTGTGTGTGTGTGTGTGCGTGCGTGTGCGTGTGGGTGTACGTATGCGGGTTTTTTTTTTTTTTTTTTTTTTTTTTTATTATTAAAGAGAGTTGGAGAATGCTTTATGCACGTAACGGCCTTCCGGCTCGTCCTGTGTGGGAATCCCTAAGCATGGTATACCAACTAAACTCCCATCTCTCTATGTCCTGCCTGTATCCCCCGCGGGAACCGCCGCTAGGCATTACTTCGCGGGGGGGCTTCTGCTATATTAGCCTTGTCTTCTTCATTACCATTCGGCTGTGTCGTTTTCTTCGATCTTCATCGTCTTCGGCTATGTTAGCCTCGTCTTCTTCTTACGGCATCGATTTACACGTCTTCTTCCAACGGCATCGTCCGGTCGTCTTCTTCTATCGGCATCGTCCGGTCATCCTCTGGACAGACTCCACCTCGACACCTACGTTCCTCTGCATCGGGTGAGGGAGTCTGGGCTCAACCCAATGTCCTTTACTCTCCCGCAAAGGCAGGGGAGCCCTTAGGATAGGCTGGCGCCTTGTTATCCTATGGATATAGGTGACCCCAGATCCTACGT